CTACTATGGTTGTAATAAAAATCCAAACGCAGCATTTAAAGCTTTTACTTCAGGGTATTTGTTCCATTTTTTTTATTTTAGAACTGATAGTACCTTTACTATATGCTGTGTCAGGGCTGGAATCACCGCAAAGCAACTCTAGAGTTTTCTCTTTTTGTCCAAGATCAGCATTTCTTTGAAAATACGTATTTGTATCTGTCTGCATGCAGAATAAGTAGGGAGATCTTAGTTTGCCAAAAACTGGGTAGAGTAAATTCTGAGAAAGTCTGTAAACAATTATCTCACGTTTTCATAATCTTCAGTGCCATCACTTCTTTCCTTAGTACTGAAACTTCCTCCTCTTGCTTCTTCTTTTCTTTATGAAGAAAATGGATGTAGTCAATTGCTGCAAAATAAAACACAGAAATGCATCTGTCAGGGTTTTTTTTTTTTCACTGCACACAAAGAGGTGTTGTCCCTCCACAACCATCTCCCATACACCAAACCGCTGACAGTTCCTCCTTCTTCTACGTCTTTTTTGTTCTCATCTTTCTACTGAACTGCTAATTTGTGTCGTCAATATATTATGTATGCCTTTTGTTCTCTCCCACTGTATTTTTTACTTGCTTTGTGTAATGTGAGTATGTGAGACTAGATGTGTAGTTGGGAGCTATAAGCAGCATCCAGTTAAGCACCACAGGACTCTACTAGAAAACTACTTAATAATGCCACTGTTGAATGTTGGATAGACATTACTATCTTTCTGTGATAAAGAGTGTCGAATTATGTCTTAGCTACTACTCCAAATGCAAACACTGGTAACCTAGGTGACCTGTAAAGTGTTCTTTCGATAAAATCACATCTTACTTTTCTGTAGTACAGTAGCCTTGCTGATCTTCTGTGCTCCCACTGCAAATTCAGACTGCTGCTGGCAGGTTGGTACTATGGACTGGAGGTCATCATAGCCTTTCTGAAGTTAAAAAAATACATATAAATTTAAATTATAATCATTAATGACTACAGAACAAATGAAAAACTAAAAATATACAACTTTTTAAATTGTAGCCTTACCTTGATGGCGTCCCTGCGCTTCTGCTCAGCCTGTGTGTGCGCTTGCCTCCGTCGATCTTTATACGAGTCCTTATATGACGTCTCATGTCTGTAGTCACTGTCTTCATCATCTATTCAAGAATATATTAACACTCAGATTACAAAACATGCCTCTGACCCTCAACTGGGGAAAACCAGCTGGCATGCTAACAAATGCACAATTAACTATTTTGTTATATAGATGTTTTTAAAAACAGAATGAGGATTTGGCAAATTTTAGTTGGTTTAAAACTGTAACAAGACTCTGGCATAAGTCCCATCACAGAAAATAAGCCAATGCTGGGCCATTTTCCATCTCAGCAGGATTCAGAGAAGCTGATTCATGCTTCAGTCAAGCTCTATTGATGACTATAATGCACTTTAAGCTGACCTACACAAGACATTATTTGACAGTGGCAACTCGTACAACCCTGCTGACAGAGTCTGAACAAAAGCTATATAAAGATGGGACACAGTTCTGCACGCACGGCATTTTATCAAACAAAGCAATATATATACAGAATATAACTGGTTTATAAAGTTCTACAAGAATTACTGTCTAAAACTAAAACTGTACTAAAATAAAAGCATGTTCTGTCTCGGTTTAACAATGAGCTTTCACTCTGAATGAAAGGTGGTATAAAAATAAGGCTTATTATGATAAATGCAATTTTATTAAGCATTTGACAGAATTTACACTCTGTCAAATGTCTGTGCATTACAGGGGATGAGTCACTGAGGCACATTTAACAAAGCAAACAGTCACATCACAATCTTAAAAACTGTGGCACAGATTACATCAGCAAAGTCAGATCCACTTACAAACACGTTACCTGTATTTGGTACTGAAGAGGCACTTGTCGAACCAATGCTGTTGGCCCTGGACACAACTGTACCTTTTCTGGCAGTTTCAGCAAAGAAACCTACAGAGGAAGACATCCGAACATCAAAGATCTTTCACTTCGAGACCAGAAATAGACTGACATGCTAATCTTAAGAGACCAGAAACACAAGGCCACCATCACAAAGCCTCAATATCAAATGATATGACAAACAACAAGGTATCAAGTGAGTGAATACTCACTAGGGTCAAAGCCACTGTCACTGAAAGCGCCGTCTGTCTGCCGAGCCATCACCAGAAAACAGAAGATGGAAAAGGGAGAAAATAGAGGCTTAAAAGCTGGAATAACAAGGGGGGAAATGATGCTGCCCAAAATACACTGACAATAGACCGATAACCAGCCTGCCCCATAAGAAGGTCTAAACCCCCACTGAGGATTGCCCTGATTTGTCCAATTCAAGTATGCAGGAGGGTTCAGAGCTGCACCAAATTACTACTTCAATCACAGATCCACTGTGTGATCTAGGGCAACACAACGAAATGGTTTCTCCAATTTGTGGTTCTCAGAGTTGGATCCAGTTTTTTTTCCAACGACTTGAGGCGTCAAAACACTGAAAATGGTGTTTAACTTCAACACTTAGTACTGTTAGATGCTAAATGTTTACAGCGTTGGACAAACCAAAAGTCTCTCTACCTACAACAAGTTTAAGTCAAGTTTATTTAGGAGTCTCTGACATGAGGACGATTAGCAACTATCTTTTTAACGACATATCACAAATGGGGAAAGTGGGACTTTGCTGCTTTGACATATTGGCAGCCGATTATTGTCACATAATAATATACAAATAATGATAACACGCAGCTAGACAAAAGCCTGGGTAGTGGTGAAAGTAATTCCCAGGTGCAAAACAGACAATTATCTGATGCTGGACTTGCAGCTAGAATTCAACAGCTAACTTAACATTAAACGTGGTCGGGCTGCTATAATTATCTGTATGTTTGCCAACGTTAATGCTAGATTTACTGCACCATCTGCCAGCAGCCTCTCCAGCAAGTCTGAACGTCACTGTGAACGCAGTCTACAAGAGATGAAGATGAGTTGCCCCCTTTTTTTTCTCCCCCCAACACGATTTGTTTACTTAACTAGCTGACTGCTAACGTTATAGCTTTATGACTGCTAACGTTAGCTGTCGAGCTAACAAAGCCCTGCTCCTCCGTAACAGCGGCAAAACTTCAAACTTTTAGACAAAACAATGTGGGCCACCTGTCGATGCTGTCACATGGCAGGACTGTGCATCAACGAATCTGAATAGTTGACGTTCACTGACATCAGTTACTTACTTTCCAATGGTCCTCGGGCGACGCAGTCGGGTCCGTCATTTTGGGAATGCTAAATAACTACTACGTCTGGTGCCTTCACGGGCTGCTAGTAAATCCCCCGCTTTCTACGTCGAAAAAGAAAGGCGGATAATTGAACTCCCTTTCGAATATTACAAATACAAAACAGTAAGGATAAGAGCCAGTTGTATGAGGGGTAAAAGCTTTCATACTTTCTGTATCCTTGAATTATGAACTTGCGTCCACGACTAACTTCATAATTGAGGAAAGTAATTTGTGTGCACGAGCTATGCCTTTGTTGTGAAAGAAGTGGTGGCCCTTTCCGAGGAGGCCGTGAATGCAGCAGCCATACATGCAGAAGTAGTTGGCTTCAAACACAGAGGGACGCTGTTGCACAACCTTCTCTACCTAGACACTTGAGTGACCTGAGCAACACATTTTCATGAGTGAGACCATAAGACCGGAAAGCAACTGTTTCACCATTCTTTCAACAGTCTTTCAACAAGTTGGAAAGCATAAAACTTTCTGAAAACTGTAAGCATAATTTATCTCTCTGCCCACTGGTGAAAAAAAAAAAACGAAATCCATCACATCTTTAAAATCCTGTGATGCTCCATATATCAGTGTGATATCATGGGTTATGGAATGGGGGGAGAATATCTTGTCTCGGGATGAACAGCATGAAGTGTTAGGTACTCTGCAGATGTATAGAGCCAGTTGTATGAGGGGTAACATCTTTCATACTTTATGTATCCTTGAATGATTAACTTGCGTCCACGACTAACTTCATAATTAAGGAAACTAATTTGTGTGCACGAGCTATGCCTTTGTTATGAAACAAGTGATGGTAAAAGTTAGTATGTATTAGTATAAATCTAAACTTTTTTTTTTATTTAAGGGTCCATACGTGTATGCTGAAAACATCTTGAATGTTATGAAACTATATGTTCTGATGTCGCAAATCATGAAAAAAAGGCCCTTTCCGAGGAGGCCGTGAATGCAGCAGCCATACATGCAGTAGTAGTTGGCTTTAAACACAGAGGACGCTGTTGCACAACCTTCTCTACCTAGACACTTGAGTGACCTCCCTTGTCCAGCCATCAGTCTGGCCTCACGTGAAGAGAAATGACTAAAACAAACTTAAATCCAGGCTGACGCAAGTTAAAGCTGACTTCAAGAGAATGAGAGACTCCAGTGTAGTGAAAGTGGATTCATGGTGAAATGGGAGTAACACTTTACATCTGCTCTTGCTTGTTTAGCACATAAGGTTTCCTTAACCTTGGACATTCTTTCTTCTTTCTTTCACTCCTGTGCTACCTTATCTTACTCATCAGTCACCTACTACATGCAAGGTAGCATATGCCTAACCGATACCATGTTTATCTTCCACCCTGTTCTCCACCCGAGGTTCTGTTGTCATGCACAGGAAGTTGCTCTTCTGCTTTTGTGCTTCTGTGGTTTCTGTCAGTGTTACAGAGTGTGTCACACTCCCCTCTCCTTCCTCTGACACTCAGTCCTCTGTAGTCACTAACCAGAGGAGTTTTTCGGTCAACTAGTGTAAAGTGAGTGACACGTAGGTGGCTCTTTTCTTAGAGCCCAACAGGCCGCCACAAATCGTATTCTTATAGGTACTTGTAAGCAGTGAAGGACAGGTTGATGAGAGCACAGACATGAGGACGATCTACATTCTTTCATCATATACCTTGTCCTCAGGACCAAAGCGGATTCAGTAGACCGGACGCTTCATGTTCCTCTACCTGAAGACTCAACAAGTTTGATTTCCGGTTTGTTCTGGTCATTTGTGACCACTTTTTGTCACTCTGTTCTGGAATACACCAATTTCTCAGGGGAGAGGGTTTGTGTAAAGCTTTCCTCCTGGATTACTTGTGGAGATTAGTGATGGGGAATGCGGCGGCAGGGGGCCTGGAGCAGGAACCGGCTGAGGGTCGCGAGGCCAGGAACTCAGTCGGAGCAGCTTCTGGAATGAGTGACCCCACTCCAGCTTTGCAGAAGAAGCAACTGGCTCCCCCCAAACTGCCCATGCCCCCAGAGGATGAGCTGGAGGAGCGCTTCAATGGTGTGCTGGTGAGTTGCTGCACAGGAGACAAGAAAGAACACACCCTTACTCCACATGGAAACCAACTATGGTTTTGTGGTCATGTCTAAAGGCAGGGATAATTATGCAGGTACATGTGTCAGAGGGACAGAAAAAAAACACATCTAGTAAGTAAACTATGATTTAAAGTTGTTAGAACATGGTTTTCTTGTTTTGAACACATGCACTCTGTGACTGATTTATTCTACCAAAAAAACAATTTGAAGTGAATACAGACTGCATGTGATGTCAGCCTTTTCCCATTTGTAGTCACAATCTTAGAATATGTAAATCCACAGACCCATTTTTCTGTGGGGCACAAAAAGCCAAACTTCACAAAATAACTACTTTAAATGTAATCATATTTGCACAAAGGTCACAGTTAACTGCTCTATTCAAAGTAGGGATATCACAATTAACAACAATGTTAGCAACATGTTGCCAGATTCATTGATACACTTACTTCACTGTTAAATCTGAAAATGTCAGACTAGGAACAGGATGATTAGTGCATGCTCAGGAAGCTGCCCCTAAGGGGAAGTTGAGCAACGCATTTTCATGAGTGAAACCATAAGACCGGAAAGCAACTGTTTCACCATTCTTTCAACAGTCTTACAACAAGTTGGAAAGCATAAAACTTTCTGAAAACTTTAAGCATAATTTATCTCTCTGCCCACTGGTGAAAAAAAACGAAATCCATCACATCTTTAAAATCCTGTGATGCTCCATATATCAGTGTGATATCATGGGTTATGGAATGGGGGGAGAATATTTTGTCACGGGATGAACAGCATGAAGTGTTAGGTACTCTGCAGATGTATAAATAAGGTGCAACCAGACACTGGAACCTCAGCTAAGCTCCAGCTATGTAAAGAGAAAAAAAAAGTTTACTTGTGTTAAAAGCACAATACACATAAAAAGTCTATCAACAGCAGTGAGGTAGATTTTTCCTCCTGTAATTTAAAAGAATGTTAGGAATCCACTTTACTTAGGGAGTTAGTTGTTTATAATTTAATAGAACTTTTACTGATGTAGGATGGAGGAAAGCAAGACTGTTTTCTTTGGCAATTACATTTTTTTCTAGCTAAAATGAAAATAAAGCAAATAGTTTATTAAGGTTTTTACTTTTTTATCTGGTAATGCATTAATGATTACTTGAAAAATAACAAACCTTATATACTAATTTCCAAATATTCTCCTGAAATTCTGCAACTTATCTCTCTCTGAATTGTTATAGCTCTGTCAAGGAGAGTCGTGATCACAGTGTAGTTGATATGTATACATTAAACATATACACTTTCTTTATGTTAACAATTATGTGTGACTGTTTCACATAATTTGACAGATCTACTTCCTCAAGTGTAAATGTTGTCATACAAGAAGACATGAAAACGTTTTGAGGCTTTAGGGTTAACTGTTTTTCTAATGTCAATGTGACATATTCTGCTCACTCGGAAATGAACAAAGGTGGCCTGTGCCATTTCATGCCTACAACACCCTCTCAGTATTATATGAAAATAATGACCTCACTTCCTCTTTCAGCAAAATACTTCCAAAGTTAACTTTAGACAGACAGCATTCTGTTCTGAGTTCAGCCTTTAACTATGTTTGTGCAACAAACTCAATAAGGAAATGAGAAACACACTTTCATCTTAATTTCTATGTAGTTTCTAAACTTAGGGAAAATGTGGGTTCATGCAAGTGTACATGCACACAAATGTTTGCAAGAGTCTTCTGTCATTTTTTGGTACCACGAAACCCACGAGACCCCTCCCTTGCCCCACCAAGAATGAAGCTTCATCTCTCAGAAGCAAAACAACGGCCGTTTCTGTTTCCTCTTTTTTTTTTTTTTTAAAGAAACTACAAACCACTGCATGAATGTACACTCTAGTAGATTTTAGATCAACACCCATGTCAACTGAAAGGATTCGTCGTGCCAGTAAATCATCTGTGTGTTTGGAGTCTCGGATCAGGGGCTGTGAAAGTGAGGCAAAGTTGTATAGAAAAATCAGCATAAATAAGAATGTAATTATTCACTCAATCAGTGACCAAAGAAAGTGATTGAAGAACTGTTCTTGCTCCAAAAATATTTTTTTTCCTCACAAACTCCCCAATTAGGTTCTGAATCATTCATAAGAATGAATTAGAGTTAATTAAACCATTCAATTCATAGCTTATTTGAAAAAGGGAATAACCTTTATATCTGGAGTCATTTCAGTGTAGGTTATAGACAATAACTCAAAACGAAACTGCAGTTTTTGGGCAGGAATATGTCAACTCCTTTGTCAGTTGAGTCAATTTACACCAGAGATTTGTGGAGGTGGGACGGGGGGGAGGTCTTGTTCTACGTAAAATTCACCATACAGTTGAGCCTTATAGTGTGCATTCCACATGTACATGTGCATTTTGTGATGGAAAATGCACATTATTCTAATCTTGTTCGAAAGTCTCTCTATATATAACTATTATATATAACTTTGATCATGTAAATAAAAAAGTGAGAAACAGACAGATAAAAATGGTTGGCAGTGGAGTGGGTTTTCTTTATTTTATATGTGCCTTGTTTCATCAAAATCTTCATTGTATTGTGGTTTAAAAAATTTGCACAAAAGCTCTATAGTTAGCAAAAGGATTATTTATTGTGACCAAAAATGCTTGCTTTCTGACGTATATTTTCCCTAACGACAACCATCAACACATACATACATGTAAACACTGAGTCATCTTTCCTTCCGGCAGGTAGTCAACGCCCTTCTGCTTTAGACGGAAAGTGCATTTGTCGTTTGATGGATTTGAATATTGTTGCGTAAGCAGGAAGGATGAAGAAATTACGAAATTTCATATTTGACATTAAAAGGGGTTGAAATGAATTGTAAAACATAAAGATCCTAAAGTGTGACTAATATGAAATTGTGTTGTTTTTTTTACTCAGTGACATTCTTGCATATGAAATTCATTTGATAACATTAAGATTTTTTACATTAAAACTCTCTTACTCTCTTTTCCAGAGCCACATGAACTTGC